CCCCTAAAGAAAAGCAATTTGTAGAGGAGACCCCACCACTGGCATCGTTAGGCCTCGCGCTGGGGCAGCATTTCGGCAGAGACAGCATGCTGGAGCGGCATCCCTCTGCTGCACCTTGTGCTGTTGCTGCTCTTCTTAACTGGGCTCAGATCGCATACAGCTTCCCTCACCTTGTTGTCTTCACCCGAAAGCAGCGCAGCAAGACGCATGCGAAGCTGCACGCGAGCAGCACTGCAGCAGCAGCAAACGCATGCATGGGGGAGCAACCCCCACAGCAGCAGGGAGAAGAAACTGCATTTCAGGAGGAGCAGGAGCAGGAGCAGGGCCAGGCGGAAGAAGACCGTTCCGCACCAGATACAGGGGCTGAAGAGACGACAGCAGCAACTGCTGCTGCTGCAGCAGCTGCTGCTGATGCTGCTTCTCCTGCTGCTGCTGCAGTACAGGCAGAAGCAGAACCAGCTTACGCGTCAGGAGACCACTCAGGAGATGACAACGCGGTGGAAGAGGAGGCGGACGAAGAGAGCGCATCGGTAGATATAGAGGAAGAAGAAAAAGAAGATCAGACAGATGGAGAGGAAGCAGAAGAATTTGTTTTGAATGAAATGCAGCGAGAAGCAGCGAAGGACGACACGGATAGTTTCTTAGCAGCAGCAGCAGCAACAGCAGCACAGCAGCAGCAACCTACAGCAGCAGCACTTCCTTTGACTGTGAAAGCCAACTGGAAAATCTTATCTCCTGAGAATGAAGAAGGGATAAGCAGAAACCAACTATCTCATGAATCCGTACAGATGCATCCCCTGGTGTTTCTTGCTGCGGGACTCAGCCGCTGGCTGCGTGTACACCTGGGGCGCCTGGGGTTCACCGGTGACGGCCTGCCCCAGTCTGACAGACCCCCTGGCACCGTTGCGCGAGTTTCAGGTATATTGACTTTCTTCGCCTCGCTGGTGAAGCTGCTGCCGCTTGCAGCGCTGCAGCAAAGCCCATCTGATGAGACACAAACAGCAGCAGGAACAGCAGCAGGAACAGCAGCAGGAACAGCAGCAGCGGCAACAGCAGGGGGCGTGGTGCAAGCGGTGTTAGAGCACATCACCGATGCGGCATACCGGTGTTCTACATTACACACAGAGCTGGCAGCAGACTCTGTGTTGTCACAGTTGCTTGAATCTGATGGAATAAACAAAGAAGAAGAAAGCAGCAGCAGGACCTCTCGTGTAGGACAAAACAAGCAGAGCTTGTGGGCTTCTCTTGCTAGCTTGACCCCTGTGCAGCAGCTGGGGGAGGTTGCAACGGGGGGAGCTCTGCTGCTGCGGCGCTTAGAGCAGCTGCTTAGGAGCAGCGGAAAGGAAGAGGTGTATCGGGTGCTGCTGACAACCACAAGACAAAATGTATCAGCTAAGCGAGTGATGAGGAGACTGAAGGCGCAGAAAACTTTCTTAGAAAACCCCAGAGCTCATGCACGAAGAAAGATAAGAAGAAATAAAGCGAAAGAAATACAACGAAAAATACGAAAAAGAGAAAAAATATTCAAAAGGAAAGGATTCATCAAAAGGAAAATAAATGCATAACAATACTAGGTGTATATATATCTTGCTTTTTTAGGGTCTATGGCATGCTCGTCTAGGGTTTAGGGTTTAGGGTTTAGGGTTTGGTTGGTGCCTGCCACTGCTGGCTGCTGTCTCA